ACATCCATTAATTAAGTGAATGATTATGGGACCATTTGGTTGGAAAGTAACCTAAAATCACTAACAAATGATGCTTTATTGGTTCATGAGGGGGGATAGATGTAATATTTTAGTACATCTAAGAATCCCACCCCACCATTAACCTAAAGTTAATGTTGGGGAAAGTGGATTTTACTTAAGACTTTGGCTTCGTTTGGGATGGGACGGGTTTCTTCTTGCTTTTTAAAATAGTTTTTTAGTATTTTTTTTTTTTGAATTTAAAAATGTGTACTAAAAAGTAGGGGTGTCAATTCGGGTCAGCGGGTTGGGTTCGAGTCGAACCCTGAATTGACCCGACACTATTCGGGTCAACCCGAACCCGACCCGTTTTTAAAAACGGGTCAGGTTTTCGGACCCGAACCCGACCCGATTCGGGTACGGGTCATCCCGAACCGACACGAATTACTCAAAGTTGACCTAAAATTGCTAATTTTCGGGTAAAAAACGGATCAATCTTGGGTTTCCGAGTCAAATAGGAGTTTTCGTGTCATTTTCGGGTCATTTTAGGGTTACTGGGTCAACTCGAACCCGACCCGATTTTTAAAACGGGTTGATTTGTTGAACCCGACCCGTTTCGGGTTCGGGTTGACCCTAACCCGGATTTTTTCGGGTCGGGTTAGGGTCGTGTCAAAAATTGACATCCCTTGACACCCCTACTAAAAAGTCATTTTAAAAAGCAATACAAAAGTTGTCCTAAACGAAGCCTTCATTTGCGATGGTTTTCCAATATGATTTATATGATTTGGCTTGGTAAATCATTTTATATGATTTACTTAGGCTTCATCAATATATAGTTGTGTATTTGATCAATACACAGTTATGTATTGGATGACGTGACTCATTCTAATTAATATATAGAGTTCGACATCTGCACGTAATAATTTCTCCTAATACCCATGTTTATTTCTTACTCTTTGATCAATAATGCACCCCAATTGATAAGTTCTTTAAGAAAGAGCCTGGATAGGATAAACACTACAATTAAGGAACCTTTTATTAATTTGATTGGAAATGTCTTATCAACTAGCTGATCAACAAATCATATTTTAAAATTTAAAAAATTAAAAATTTAACAAAAAAAATCATTTTGCTGATTTTTTGTGCTGTGTTTCTACCTCATTTGGTAAATAAGCATTTGCATTGTGCTTTATTTCACAATGAAAATAGACAAATTGTGGAACAATATTTTGATATAATTTTATTAAAACTATTTAAAATTAATAAAATATAAATCCTTTAAATATAGTTCTAATTTCAAAATAAATTTAATAAATTTTAATTATATCGTTATATAAATTATATCAAATAGATAATTTTGACATTTTTTCTAATAAAATAAAGTAAATATATATTCTTAGCTAAGGATTAACATGATGCTAAGTTCAAAAGTCTAATTAAAAAAAAAAAGTTCTAAAGTCTATTTTTAAAAAAAAAGTTCTAAAGTCTAATTTATGTTCTAGAAAAAATATTTAATATAAATTTACTTATAAATAAAATTACTTTATTGATAGGATTTTTTTAATTTATTATATTTTTTTAATTTAATAAAAAATATTATTTATTATTTTTGCTCGCCTCTAAGAAAATATTTTATGATCACTATTGGCTATACCTGTACGGATGTGACATGTCTCGCACGCCATTAAATGCTCGATTGAGTTGATCCCATCCGTGGGCGGTGGGGCCAACAGCCAGGTGAGCATTTGTAATTCCCAAATAATCATTCCATCTAAAGGTATACATAATTTGCACAAATCAATTCAAATTAAGGAGAAATTATTTTATGTGCAGATCATAGAGGTAAATCAGAATGTGCAACGTCATCTAATATACAACGGATACCTAATCGTGATATACAACAAAGGGGTGATATGACTCGTTCTAATTCGCCTCCGGACGACATCAGTATCCGCACAGATTAATTTCACCAAATAAAAAAGGGAAAAAAAAACATATGCTCAAGATATGATGATTATATTTTTCGAAAAATTATTCCGTGCAGAATCAAGGCAGAGTCTGGATGTAACTTACGTCTAGACTTCAACGAAATCAAACCATGTTATTTATATATACAAATATAAAAGCTATGTGATTTGATTTCATTAAAATCCGAACACATCCAGATTCCACAAGTAATAATTTCTCATCTTTTTTATATCTCAGCATTGTTAAATTTAATTTGAAATAAATATAATATAAATTTTAATTTATTCTTTAAATATTTGTACACGCCAATATAGGGTACAAATAGACATCAACAAAATAAGCCATCATAAGAAAAAAATCATTACAGGACATCAACTATGGTTGTCTTCAAGCCCTTGTTGATGTCTGATGAGTATATTGTTCGTTAGTAAAAAACCCAAACATATTGACAGATAAACAATTGTTACGTGCTAAAAATTTTGATTACGGTAGAATGTATATTTTACATCTCTGTGTTGTGCAAAAATTTAACACGAACAGGAAAATAATAAGTTCAGAGATTCTTTACATGAAAAATCCGAAAATGGAAAAAAGAAATCACGACTAGCATAGTAGAAAAAGTCATTATATAATAAGTGATACAAGAATCCTCCTTTCTTCGTTGTTGAAGAAAAGGGGGTATATATATATATATATATATATAATGTTTTATTTAAAGATTTTTTTGAGTGACATGCTCCATCAAACGGATCATATTAATTCCCTCGATCATAAAACATTCATCAAGTATTTAAGTGTCTTAATAATGTCAGAATTAAGTTATCTTGAGCTCATTGAATTCGTCTTGTCAAGCCGCTCAATTTAACTATAAGCAAGCCATATTTAGATATTATTGAGTTATCTAATTAATGCTTTAAAACTTCTAAATATTTGGGCTCTGATTGGGCCGATTTTGGTGTCATTGGATTCATCTAATCAAAACGTTCAATTTGACTATAAGTTTGATAAAATCAGAGTTTGGATAATCCCAAATTTTATTTTATTAGTTTTCAATTCAGATGTGCATCAATATCTACACCCAATCAAGACGATTTTTTATGACGCATCAACACTTAAAAGCTTAAATTAATCAGTAAGGATTACTACTCTCATATAAGAAACTTTAATCTCTACTACAATTCCAATGAGCTCATTAACTATTATGCACTCTCAAGAGAATCTTAGTAATCTCTGAACACTATTTCCACCATCAACTCACGTCCAATTGAAATATTTTAATGCCATATGAAGCCTTCTTAGGAGTCGATCGCTTTTAGAATTCGTGCTTAGCGATGATATGAAGCTATAAACAATGGGATCTATAAACTACATAATCACTTAATTCTAGATGAATCATAAGCTCTAAAACCATTTGCTAGAAACTTGAAGCAGTGGAGCGAATGTTTAGTTCAATACACTAATAAATAACACATTAACCTAAAAGCTTAAGGTTTCATTCAGAGCAGCTTTCTTATTACTTCTTAAAATAACTTTTTATTACAAAAATTAAACTTTTTTTTTTTTTACAAAAATTAAACTTTTTATGTTAAATACCTGCTTTAAGAAGCATATGAAATGAAGCCTAAAGTTTTGTTTGGGACGGCTTTCTTACTGCTTCTTGAAGCAATTTTCTAACACACAAAATAAATTTTTTATACTAAAAAGCTGCTTTGCAAAGCAATAAGAAAGTCCTCCCAAACGAAGCCTAAATCTATGAGTAAGTGGCATTATTATTATTATTATTATTATATTTGAAGTCAACTTTTTGTTTCATTTCCAATATGAAATTATTCTAACACTTTCATTTGGATCTTTGATCTTTAACACAGCCAAATTATAAAACCTAAAACTATGACAAATACAGCTTGTTCACTGGAAAGCAACAGATTTTGGAAAGCAAACTATCAAACTGCAGAGATAAAAAATGTGGTCAGCAGTAAAATTATACTCAATTGGGAACCTCATCAATGTCAGGTTAATTTGTTTCTCATTAACTATGGTCAAGTTATCATTTAATGAAACGACATAAAACCACAGGTATCAAAATACTTGGGAAAAAAAAAAACATGAACACAACAGCACTTTCTTTTAATGGTTGAAATTTTGCAAAATTTAACATACAGATACATTAGTAGAATTATGTGACAGAAAGAATAACGTAGATGGTGCAATTGTAAGAGGAAGGACAAGAATGGCAATCATGAGTTATCCGTATTAATTTCAAAAGCAAATGAAATGTAGATACAAATCTAGTACATGTGAACTAACAGATTTTTTTTTTTTTTGAAAAACAAGAATAGTGTGAATGATAACATCTGCGGGAAGTCAAAATCTGTTAGGAAACACTTAAAGATCTCAAGTGAAATCTAACAATTTTGACAAAAACAGCGAGAACGATCAACCAATCCAAAGAAAAAAGCGGAAAAATAGTAATTTTATTGCGATAATCAAACTAACGGAAGAAAAATAACAAGATACAATTGATCCTCTATTCAAGAGGAGGATCTATCTCTCCCAAATCTCTAGACGCCGCTAGAGTCTAAAAACCTAAAAGTAAGATATATCAAATTTCAGCTTAATTTAAGATGTCCTAATCCTAGGAAAACAAACTATTTAATGCATACAATCAAAAGAGAAATCTCTAAACAGTCCCTACATTCAAATTTCCCTCCTAATTCCCTAAAAAATCCTTCATAAATAGCTCTCTCATGCCTGGGCAATCGGATCATGAGTACAGGAGGCGGAACTTCCGCCTGTTTCGGCCGTAAACCGGTCCCGTCTAGACCGGCTGGACCAGTCCAGTGGACCAGTCTAACAGAATCATTCCCTAATTCATTTAACAAGAGAACTAAGCTAGAGCAAAGATCAGATTTTCTCCATCAGAACCTAAAGATTGCAGGTTTTAAAACTATAAGGAGCCTCTATCCAATGCAAAAAAACAAGCAAGCAAGCAGAAATCAATGCCTCCTAAGATCATGCCTACTTTAGCAATGTCATTAAGTACCTGACTGATGATTTCAAGCTCCACGAACAAGAGCCAGTGGAATATAATTTGAACATTCTTGTAATGTGGTAACATAGAGAAATGGATATCAGTTTAGCAAAGTTAAGTAAGTATTGAGGATATTTATAACTTATATTTAGGCTTCGTTTGGGACGGCTTTTTTTCTGCTTTTTAAAATAGCTTTTTATTACAAAAATTAAAAATTTTGTACTAAAAAACTGCTTTAAAAAGTAGTAAAAAAGTCGTCCCAAACGAAACCTTAGTAAATGTTCAAAACTATCAGACCACTGCAAAATAATCTCTCTTACAAATGTCAATGCTGATGCCCACAACCAGGTGAATCTATAGTAGTAGAGGTCGGGCCTGATCTCTGTCGTTTAGGTTCACGATCCCCTAAATGCAAAGAAACACAGAAATCTTCTTCAGATGAGTTTCTGAGTGCAGAAAGACACTTTTCTTCAGTGCTGTCTTCTTGGTTCTTGTGTAATGGAGATGCATTTGCAAAGCTAGGAATGAATTGGAGTTCTTCCACATTCTTTGCTGTTTCAACCGTCTGCACCTGAAAATCCAACTGGGAGCAGGAGTTGTTCATTCCAGATCCAGATGCGCCATCAATAGTTTGAATATTAATACCAAGGGGAACAGGTTCATAGATGCCATCAGCCTTTCCATTAGGAAGGTTGCCCACAGGTGGTGATGATTCTCCTACAGTGGAATCCAAAGCCGCGACTAAGGCCACTCTTTGGTCCTGCAGAGCTTCTTCAAATATCAAAAAAGAGGCAAATGTAAGAGAGGGTGACAAACAAGCTTGCATTAGACATTTCATGATATAGTTTGTGGGAAATAAAAGCAAATACCTTGTAGACTTTCATTAGTTGTGATTAGATCAAGTTCTAAGAGGTTAAGAAGCCTCCCAAGATCAACTCCACTAGTCCAATTCTCTGGACCATGGCCACACCTAAGCTTCAGTCTCCCACGGTTAGCTGTTCCACCCCATATTATCCCTATGGGTTGAGGCTTCTCAGCTTCCTGTCCCGTCAAAATAATGAGGCTACCACTGTCTCCTTCAAGATCAAAAGTTTCATGGTTTACACCAACAACAAGAAAATCTGTGAAAAAGCAGATCCCTTTCTCATCATTGTACTCGAGGGCATAAGCCATGACTGTTCCAGTAGTCAAACCAGAGCTCCTTCCAACCTTCACCACTTGCCTTCCAATAAGACTGTTGATTGGAGACTGCAAGTCTACAACCTTAACATCCCCAATCTCACCCACTCCCTTAACAGATGTAGTGACATTGGACATGTCGAAATCATCAGCAAATGGGATGAACGCTCCATCAGCTCGCACAAAGGTTTCTGTGGGTGCATCAGAAAGTGATGAGTATGTTCAGATATCAGATGTCATCAAGAATCAATTAGTGCATCAGAAAGGAGTATGTTCAGATATCAGATATCATCAAGAATCAATTAGCGCAACAGAAAGTAAGGAGTATGTTGATAGGAATTCTCAAGTATTTTCCATCAATCTTCAGAAAACAACAAGAAACTCTTTCAAATTCCAATGAAAATCAGGAAAAACAGTAAATTTTATTGCAAGAAATCAACTAACGGAAGAAAACAACAATATACAAGTGTTCCTCTATTCTAGAGGAGGATCGATCTCTCCCAATCTCTAGACGAATCTAGAGCCCAAAATCTAAACCTAAGATATCCCAAAATTAGCCCAAATTCAAGATGCCCTAACTCTAGGAAAACAAGCTATTTAATGCATACAAATCAAAAGGAAATCCCAAAACAGTCCCTACATTCAAATTTTCCTCTAAAAAAATTCCTTCCAAATTTACTCTTTGGACTCGGCGGCTTGTGCGCTGCGTACAGGCGAGGCCGACTTCTCCGCCTATTTCGCAAGTAAGCCGGTCCCGCCTAGGCCGGCTGGACCGGTCTAGCATATGAATGGATATCAGATCATCATCCAAGCATCAATTAGTAAAAACATAGGGCTCCATTCAATAATCCTCGTTCTAGGAGATAGTGACTAGTGAGAAACATTGTTGTTCAATATAAAATTGGTGATCATGAATATCAGTTTTGCATCAACAGTTCCAAGTTACTTATTTACTTGCTATCTGGCAAACCAAGGAGGTTCCCATTCATCATACAAAAGAATTCAGCCAATAGCTAACCAATGCATTGAATCGAGAAGATGGGAAACATATTTTAAGCAGCTGGAAGTTCCAATTTAGAAAAAAATGGGATAATCAAAGGCATAGCAAAAAATAATTCTACTCTGTGTTACCTGGGTTTGTTCCAGCATAGATCCCGAACCATAAATCATCTGTGATAAAAGAAGTTGCTCTTTCCACAGCACCGAGATAGACCCCAGGCCCAAGGTTAGGTGGTAAAGGGTGAAACATCTTCTGGTTAGGGTAATCCAAATCAACAGCGACATGCCGGTTCGTAAGGAAACCGACTTGTTTGCTTCCCGTCCTACTTTTCACAATGGCACCAAGAGTTCCATAAGTCTCTTGGCTTGCCACCTAAGAAAGAGGCAAACACATCAGGAAGATAGATGATTTATTTTCAAACTAAATACATAAAAGTAAATTCTATTCAAGTGATACGGCAGAAGAATAATTGGCATTGTGCAATAGTCTTATAGACATGGATATACATCTCCTGAATTAACAGCTTTACCAAGGTTTAACTTTCCATTTTTTCTTGAATTAAAGTAAAAGAAGATGAGAAAATAAAATATATTAGCTTTTCATTGAACAAAGCTGTCCGAGGCCAGCCGGACCAAAGCTGCAACAACTCCTAAAAGCCTCCTGGACCATTTCACTGCACTAGATGCATACTTAGAACATCACAAATACAACATAATTCAATGCTTAGCATGTAAACATGTTTTCTGTAAAATTTCATCCACAAACAGAAAAGAGATCGAATTAAACTTTCCATTGATTAGTTCAATGACTTTTACTATGACTTCAAATAGAAAGCCCTATACTACTTCTCATTTCTTCCACAAAGCTACACTGAGCTGCTTAAATTGAATTGCTGCAAAATGATAGACAGGTCCTTGGACTGGTCCATCCTGGACTGGCAATGGTCTACCAGAGGTGGAACAAAGATTCTGCCCCCAGTAATGCCGCCCCCTTTGGGGATGGGGCCCAGCAGCTAATTTAAGGAGGAATTAAAGAGTGATTAGGAGGGAAATTTAAATTAGAAGGGTTGTTTGGGTGTTTTACTCAATTAATTGTATGCTTATGAAGAATTGGGGTCTAGGGTTAGGGTTATCTTAAATTTGGCTGAAATTTGAGATCTCACTTAGGTTTGCTTGGGTCTAACAGCCGGCTAGGGATTGGGAGAGCCCGATCTTCCTCTCAAATTGAAGATCCTTTGCATCTTGTTTGCTTGCTTTCATCCACTATCAAATAAAGAGTGTTTCTTTGGTTTTTCCTCTACTTTCTTTTCAAAAAACTGTTTTGCAAGTTGCTGAATTTCTGATTTCAACAAGGGATTTAGCTTATACCTTTCTCGGCCTTATGGGTAAGATCAAGTGAAGTATATGTTATTATCAGTTTAATACCTGATACGTGGGCCATGGGCCCACTTGATATTAAATTTATTTTTTGTTGAGTGAGGGCCCATTACAATAGCTTGCCGCGAAGGATCGGCGCAACCCTATTGAATAGTTAACACTACCGTTGCCAGGTCCCAAGTCCTAGATGAGAAAAGTAGATGATTGCGTTAGGTAGTCGACAGCCAGCGTAAAACTTATCGGATAATAATGACATGAATCCTTTAAGAAATTGTGTTAATGCTAGGGCGTCCCCTGGAAGCGACGCGCTGTATGGCCTGAATACAGTGACAAGTGTGCAAGGGCCACTGCACCGGCGCCCGGGTGCAGTGTTAAATAAGCAAGGGTTCCCACATCAAGGACGGATGTGAGCAAAGAAGCTAGTCCATGAAACTAAAATTAGGATGGGAACTTGGAATATAGGTTCCCTTACAGGAAAATTAATGGAATTAATAGATATTATGATTCATAGGAAATTAAATATTTTATGCATTCAGGAAACTAAGTGGGTTGGAGAGAAGGCCAAGGAAATCGATAGTTTAGGATTTAAACTTTGGTATTCGGGTAG